CATCAGAGGGGTCAGATCCATGTTCTTTCAGCGCCTCACCAGTCCCTCAGACACCCAGGTGCATCCTCCATTACCTCTGTATCCCCTGCATATTGATGGTAATGGTCAAAGCCTTGCATAGAAGCAATGATAAGCTAATTGTGGTATGTCAATCCTCTGGGAGACCCCCTTAGTAGCACAGGGTTATGAAAGAAGGCAGAGGAGCGAGGGCACTGTGTGGGAGAGGAGCCTGATGGACAGAACCCTGCAACTTCCTTCATTTTCTCTCTATATTCCACAGAGCTCCCTTGCTCAATTTGCTACCCACACACCAAAGCATTGTCCCATTTTATCTGCTTCCCCTGGTACTTCCATTGCTTATCTTACGATGATCTGTGTCAACATTTATCAAAACAAATGGCAAGCCTGGGACCTTTTAAGTAGTTTTTTTAGTTAATAAAACCAATCTTCTACTTCTGTTATGTTAAAAATACATTATCTTTTTATTACAAACTCTCTACAGCTCTGTCTGTTTTCCTTCTTGGCAATTTCATGACTGCTCCAGTTGATTGCTGTATGGAGAATTACAAAATCATTAAGGGTGGGGTTTTACCAGCTGACTTACAGTACAAGCCATTTCTCAAAATAACCACAACAGTGCAATACTGATGTGTAATTTACGTCACAGTATGTTTTTATGAAATAGTTTGTGGGTTATTCATTTAGATCTAGAACTGAATATCTCTTCTTTTGCTTTTTAATCAAGCCTGCTGCCTTTTTTTTTTTTAACTTTTTAATATTTTCCACTCTGAGGCTTGGCTTGCCTCCAACTTACCAGCTACATGGAAAAGGAAAAAATTGATTTTTTTTTTGTTTTTTTTTTCCTTTGCCTGCAGTTTAACTGTTGCCCTTTGATGTATATATTTGTGTTAACTGCCTCTGAAGGAATGGTAGATGTGTGGTATAATATTTTGTACAAAGGTAGAGCAGAGAATTGATAAGAGACGTAAAAGTTTGCAATTTCAAACCATACCAAGCAAGTGTTTCTGTTTAGCCTCCTGTGCTGGTACATTTCCTTTTTAAAAATTGCTTTCTGTATAATGTCTTGTAATTAGAACAGGAAATCATTGAGCAACCGTAAGAAGAAAAAGAGCACTTAAACTGAAAAAAAAATTTACCTTCTGAGAAATTATATTCAGCTTTTTTTTCCCCTTTTTTTTTTTTCTTCCCTTCACATTACTGAGTTGTTAATGATAGTAACAGATGTACAGACCCTTATCTGTATCATTGTTCTGCTTGTGTTTTCAGAGAGGGGAGGGGGAAATTGGGCCGAAAAAGTAATTTTCAGTAATGCAAAAAATGAATGGACAGAAAATGGGAAAAGCCTAATTACAAAAAATATTCTGTGTCACAACAGAGTAGCAATTAAATTGAAACTTCAATATAATTATCAATAACAGTTGAGCCTGGAAGGGTGCCAGGCGTGTAAAGTTGGTACTCAGCCTTTATGTGGTTGCTAGGAGGACGGCAAAAAGTATAAAGCTTAGAGAAAGTAATGTCTAATGTAATAAAGTAACAGAAGGTAGCATAAATCATTGTGAGAGCAGTTCATATTGACATTATTTTACTTAAATTGGGTCGAAACTAGACATTTAGTCTTACAAGAGGCACAAATTCATATTTCTTCTGCAAGAATAACTCTGTGCTTTCTGGGAAGAAGTGGAGTGTGCTTTCATAGCACCAGCCTCATACATATTTGGAATCTTTTAAGCAAAAATCTTAAAATGTTTGTTTCTGTTGGCATCCAAATGCATTTGCACTAATACGATTAAAAGAACTAAAGGGCAAAATACTTGGCAGCTTTTTCAGTTGAGGTAATTAGGTACAGGAAGGAACATGCATAGTTTTTCCATCAAGCTCTATAAAATCCTGGTGTGAAGGTCTTTTTAAAGAGAAATAATGCTTACTGATGTTGAGGGTAGATTATGGCAGTTTGCAATAACATTATAGGCTGATGTTTCTGAAACAAGCAAACAAAAAGCGTGTTACAGGGGGTTTTCTTTTTGGTCTCTCTGTAAATAGTTCTGGCTCTAGATGGATTTGTTAGGAATTCGTCCTTTTAACAGGCTTTAATTTTTTTTTTTTCTTTTGGGGCTTTTAATTGTCTTGCCTTACATATTAAAAATGGTTGTGCTGATTTGAAAAGTCAGTTCTTGCATAGATTCATTGTGTTTGGCATTTCATGCATCTCGTACTTACAAAGACAACTTGAAGAACATGTAATCCAACATAAATGCCAGGCTGTGCCAAATCCCAGCTCTCTTTACCCCTGACAAAGGGAACTGTTGGATTATATCTCTGCAGATATAGGCAGTACTTGGAAGGCAGGAGTGGAACTTTGCTTCCTAATTACAGTTTCTCTGTTTTCAGCCCTGAAATATAAAAATAAATGAAAAGTTGATGTTGGAGGATGTTATTAAACCACGCAATTATGATATAAGCATAGGATTAGAGTAATTTCAGTTGAGCCTCACAAGCAGAATACTGTAGATATTATCTTTTACCATGTTCTGTCTGTGGAATCTAAAATGAAACTCAAAAAATACAGCATCTTGGTTTCCTAATATCTCAGTTGTGTGTTTATAGAAGTCATGTTGTTTTTCTTAATTTTAATGGAATGTGATCCATTAAAATTAATCACATTTTGAGCTTCTCTTCTCCTAAGAGTAAACCCTTTCTGATCATATTTCTGAAAAATACTTGCAAAATTCACTAAGTCCACCATTAAATGGCACGTGTGAGATTTTGATAAAAGCAAATAATAGTTCGTCTTTGGGCTTGCATTTTATTAGGGATTGGTCTGCTTTGATTTCTCTTTTCTCATGTGGGCGTGGTTGAGGAAAAAATCTTTGTTCCAGGAACACTGTGTTTGTCTTTCACTAAGCAAATTTTCAGTTTATTCAGCCTTTGTTCATTCTTTGATGTATCTATTGAACCTGGAGTAGAAAAGGAAAGGAAACAAATGCATCACAAAGTACTCATTGGAATTGCACAAGCATGTATGAAAGTGATCCTGTAAAAATTACTTGGTTTTAATTTATGCTAGGGGGTTTGAGTTAAGTCATCAGTTGTCAGGGGTACAAAGTTTGTGTAATTCTGCACAGGGACTTGCAGCACATTTGTCTAGAAACTAATGGTTTACTACAAAGGCACGTGGGACATACATTTATATACACCCTGTTTAAAAAGCTGACCACATCCTGGCATAAGAAAAGTGCTGTCAGATCGACAGATTCAGCTCGGCGCTATCTGCACAAAGGTATAAAGTAGTAATAACCGTCAGGCAGGCGTACGTGCAACTCTCGAAGGAGTTAAAGGACGGATCATGTGCTTCTTAATTCCTAGAACACTTTTCCTGATCTGATTTTTAGAGTTTCCTAATAAAGAAGGGAGAGCCTTATTCCCAGGAGCAATTGGCTCAATCGTGCTGCTGTGTAGGCTTATGGGATACTTGTTGAAACAAAGAAAAGCATGACCACATCCTTATTGGCCAAAAGAGGTTTTAGGGCCATCAATTTTATTTACTTAGAAAATGCCAGTGCTGTTTACCAAAATGCATAACCCTTACTTTAATTTTTTTCTTTTTTTTAACACAAACAATTTTATCTCCTCACCTATGTCAGGATAGTAGTGAGAGTTCTAAGTTTTTAAAAGTGATGGCTTTCAGGAGCTTTGCTACTAAAGACAGTGCTTTGCAAGTCTGTCTGTCGTGTTGAGTTTTTTTTTTACAGCATTGCATTCCTCTGCAGTGATGACATTCTAGGTGATATATCTGCTTCCAGAGACTTCTTAAAATTTAGCCTTTTATGTGTCAACATTTTCATTGCCTCACTTGAATCTAGATGAGTTGTGCCATCATATTTAGTTGGGGAGAACTGATCTGACTTTTCTTTCAATGTCTGAAGTGATTTTTACTTTAGGAGTAAGAATGATTTCAGTATTGGTAATGGGATTAAATAGTAGATCTTTTGTCTCTGGCAGAAGAAATAGCTGAGTTATTCAGTAATCAGAGTAGAACAGAAAACGTAAAGTGAATGCTGTTGCTTTGTCTTCACTGGCATGCCTGGAAAGCCATGTTCAGTTAGGTACCTGAGGAGATAAATGAGCATAAAAAGTGATGTTGAGTACATACCAGCAAATGAGTAATTTCTCATGTTTGTGTCCCTAGTTGAGTTTTTTTTTCCTCCTAGGTTTCCTTCTGGTTATATGATGACACTTGATTGTGTTATTTCAAAATCTGCCACCTTCATATGTGATATCATCTAAACCATAGAGGAATGGAAAGCTCTGAGGTCTAGATTGCTTTATATTTTGAGCCCAGCAGCACAAGCTGTTCAAAAATTCATTTGCTTGTTGTGCTCTGTAGGAGTTTTATTGAGTCCTGCTGCATTTGCAGTTAATGTGCAGAAAGTTGCTTCCACCTCTTGGGGTTTAGCAACAATGACCAGGTTGGGTCACCCCACCTCCCTGGCCCAGAGGTCCTTTGGTAGTTGCCAGTATCAGGGACTGGAAAGGAGAGGTAATAGCTCTATGCTCTGAGCCTTGTATATTATTGTTTTTAAAAGATGTTAACTGATGTAAACATGAGTATAGAAAAGCTGTATGGGGAACTGAGTAAAAATTACAGATATTTCTATTGAAGCAGCCAAATTGGCAAAATATGGAGAACGCTTTGATTAAGGCCCTTGGCCAACTTCAGCAGAGCAGTGTTTTCTTGCTCATCCAGGTAGTCCTTGTAAGTAAGTATGGGAAAACTGAACAGAAAGGCAGAAAATAACCTATTTTAATAAACTTTCTTTAAATTACTGGTTTTTAACCTTTCTTTCCAGACCCACTGTGCCATAAAAGTTGTGTCTTGAGTAACTTACTTCAGAAAAATAAATTGTTCTGAAATACTTGAGTCACAGTTCTTGTTGTGTATTTTTCTGATATACTAAGAGTATTTTTTTCTGTTCTTCCAGGTGAGGATGATGAAGATTCAAACCTTTTAATTCTCAGCTACCCACAGTACTGTCGCTACCGGTCCATGCTAAAGCGCATCCAGGACAAGCCCTCGTCAATCCTCACAGACCAGTTCGTGTTAGCCCTTGGAGGAATTGCAGTGACAAGCAAGAACCCCCAGATCTTCTATTGTCGGGATACATTTGATCATCCCACCCTAATAGAAAATGAAAGTATATGCGACGAGTTTGGTAAGTCCCATTACAGCTATTTTCTTTTTCTCACAAGACATTTTTCTTCTTTTAATTATCCACTTATTTCCAAAGGGAAGATGTAATTCCTTTGAAGTGAACCATGAATGCTATTTATGATTGAAATGATCAGTACCAAATATGCTCTTTCTTCTCTAAGACTGAAGGCTTTTGGCCACTGGTGATCTCAGTATTGCAACTTGAGTTCACAAAGATAATGTTACATGGGTGGAGTGTAGCACAGTGACTGGGTCTGAGTGAAACAATATCTTGCCTGGGTTTGAAGTTCATCTACCTTAACCATTCACCTGTAGCCTGTCTTCCAGAAGCATTACAGTGTGTGTTAGTTTTTTGAAGTCATTGTTGGTGCAGTATGCTAAAAGATGCAGAATAGGAGGGAGTCCTGGCACACCCCATTGCTGTTGCAGAGCACTCATCAGCCGTGGTCCCTGGGCACTGTAAGAGTGTCAGCTGTAGCTGGTGTGTTCCTGGTCATCTTGGAATGTGGGCTTGTTCAACATGGGCTTTGCCACTGCTAGGAGCTTGATTTTATGAGTGCAGAGATACTTCTGGGAGGTGACCTCTTAATTCAAGAGGCATAGAGAATACTCTGCAGCTCTAAAGGAGTATGCAGCTTCTTACAGCTGAGGGAAAGGACTGCAAGATTTGACACCTGATAGCAACCAGGTGATTTCACACAGGGTTTTTTTTTGTGTCAGATCATCCCAAGACAGCAGGTGTGCTTTGAATATGTGGCAGAATGCATGTTGTGTGGACACCCACTAATGGGTCCAGTGTAGTTTCTTTAGCCCTGTACAGAATTAAGTTTTATGCCCCATATCACCAGATGGATGAGTTCTGTGGCTAATGCTTGCAAAGTCTGCATGGTGCTGAGTACACCTTTGCTTGCAAGACCCCCACATCTCTGCAAGGAAGCTCCTGTAGTCTCTTAGAGAAAAATGTGTGCTGATGCCCTTAAACATTTAATAATGAGATTGAGAGGGAATGTTTTTGATGGGAGAGTGATCTGCCTGTTTTTCTGAGCTGGCCGCACTGGCTTTGAGCTTGGTGCCCAGCTCAGGCATTGTTGTGACAGCAGAGAAACCCTGACTCATCTGGTGGCATTGGGGCATTTTGTAAGGTAGTGCTGCTCTGCTGCTCTGCCACTCCATTCCCAACAGGCAGAGGAGATCCCTCCTCACGTGGTGTTGTCACTGGAGCACATGACTGCTGAGAGTAGTTTTAGTTTTGTGCTGTCAAGATTTTTCAGAATCTGGCCCAAACTGTCAAGTCTGCTCACACTCACACAAAACATGGCAGGTTTTGAATGAACTATGAATAAAAGTGTTGGTTGCTCTTAGGGGATGGGGGTGGTGAAAAAATGAATTAAATGCCCTGGAAGTTTGGTCCAATGGCACAATAGTATCGTGTTGGATTTTATTTACTCTGAGCTCAAGCTCAGAATATAAAGTTCAGTTGTAATTGACTCTCCTTTTTATGTGAGAAAGGTTATTTTAGGCTTGAAGGCGTTTGATGAGCCTACCATCTGCTTTCTGTGGAGTATTTTATTCAGGGTCATTCCTTGATTACAGGTTTGTTGAAATAGTTGGATCCATAATGCAAGTGTATCATGGAATATTAGTAATAGATGAATCAAAGAGATGTGGAATGATGCAGAAACTACGCTTAGTGAACCATAGCAAGTGCTTTGTTCAGCCTCTGAAAGCAAACTATGCCATTCTCTTGACCTTTGCAAGGCAATTATCTCATTATCAACCAGAGCCACAGAAATCTTAGCCATAGAAATTAATAATGTGTATTTAAAATTTAGTTTGGTTTAAGAAGCAGATTTTTTAAAAATTCCTATTTAAAAAAAAAAGAGCCACAAAAAAAATCCCCAAAAAAACACTGTTTAAAAGTATTTATTATGAAAATAATGATGTAAAACTTGCAAGCCCTGCTGTTTAAAGAAGGAAAAACTGGCCAGTGTGTGGTTTCATATCTGCATTGCGAAATGTATGGTGTCAATTATGCTGCCTTTGTTGAAGACTGCAGGCAAAGTACAAGTTTATCCTTTTCTTTGCTGGCAGGACAATAAAATGTACAACGCTTCATTATACAAACAGTTTACATTGATACCATGTAGATTGATGTCACATGGGGAAGGTGATGACTGCTAAGGCTAAACACAGGCAGGGTGGTACAGTAGATAAATAGATTACTCTAAGGCACTGGTATTTGTCAGTCAAATCTGAGAGGATGCCAAATTACAAAAATGGTGGCTAAAATTCTGAAAAGGTGTCTATAAGGAGTCCCAGACACATGTACTTTGAAGGGTTTGTCCCTCTCTTACCTTGCAAATGAAATAAGCGTGCAGAAGGAACAGGATAGGAGTGTGTATTTCACCATTTTTACCTTAAATTCTCCCAGCTCTAAAGCAAATACAAAATTTGGGAAATACATTGTCCTGATGTCTTTATGGGGATAACACTGGAGCACTGGTTTCCAGTGTGGATGCCAAGTCTTCTTCAGAAGCATTGCTTTTGAGGCCAGTTTTACACGTTCTCTGTATGGTGGAGTACTGCAACACATACAGCATGTGACAAATGAGACACCAGAACCACCTTTACAAAGAACCCCCAGCATGTAAGCTATTGTCCTTGTTAGGCAGTTTTAATAGGCCAAAATGTTTTTCCTGAAAATATTCTCTCTACTTTCATTATAAGTTTATAACAAAAAAAAATTTTGTTGAGCTCTGACTTGTTCTCATACTCCTTGCCTATTTTTCCCTCTTTTGCAGGGTTTAACAAAAATAAATAAAGCTGGAAATGAGGAAGAAGAATTAAGTTTTGTTGACAATAAATATTGTTTTGGTGTGGGACATTTTAAAGCAGATGTTTGTAGCTGCTGTCTGTGTGCTCCCCCAGGTATGGCTGGGAGGGAAGCAGCAAGGCTTTGGGCAGTCCTGGGTGCATGTTCTGTGTTTCCATAGAGCCTCTGTGCGCTCAGGCTGTGCTGAACTTCCCCTCCAGCTCCAGCCACAGGTGTTCCCAACACCACTGCCTGTGCTTGCCTCTGCCCTCTGTGCCCACTGCTGCATGGCATGTGCCCAAGTGCTCTGGACAGGAATATTCAGGATCTGTTTTCTTGCATGGTCCTCTTGTAACTCTCCTCTAGCTGGTTCAGTGTGCCACAGCATCCCATCTAGGAGGCTGCTGGAGGAGCAGGCTGCTGAGGAATGGGCTCAGCAGCTGGAAGGCTCAAACATTTGCATGTCTTTCTCTGCAGCCTGCCACAGAAGGACTTGCTCTGCATTTACAGAGGAAAGGCTGCTGTGAGTGGGAAGCTTCCTGCTCCCATCCTTGTTGATATAACCACTGATTAGTTAATCCAACTGCCTTGGAGGGTTCCCCTCCAGAATGCAAATAGGCTCAAGAGCTTGCTTCTGTTCAGAAGGCAGAAGACATAAACCATGCTTGGATATCTTGATAGCCCACGTTCCTGGCTATGACTGCAGTCCAACTGCACAGGTATCCCTCTCCTGAAATAAGAGCAATTAGAGATCCTCACCAGCGTGAAGCAGTCCAGGTGGATAATGAAATGAACATGAGCAATGAAAAGGAACAATTCATTTCTCTTCAAGTCAAGACATTTTTCAAAATCTTTTTCATTTATCAGCCTCTGGGGTTACTGTTACTGAATAACTTTCGTAAATGCATATCATTTACTGGCATCTGTTGTGTGGTCATATGTGCTGCAGGAGAGAAGGAATGAAAAAATTAGGTTTCTAATAATTCTCATTACAGACCAAAGGGATCTAGCTGGAGGCAAAGCTGCCTGTGAGTGTTCAGGTGTATCTGAAGGTCACTGGGCATAAATCAGTGTGCACTTGTTGCTAGAGCAGCACATGTCCTCTGTGTTTGCTTGTCCAAAAAAGGTGACTTCAGTTGCCAGGCTTGTGCCAGCTCCATGGCATGGAGTGGCTTCCAGGGCTCATCAATGAGCCAGGATCTTTCTGTGATCCAGGTGTGGTCTGGATGATTGTGAGTTTCAGCTCCATCAGCTTCACCAGGTGAAAATCTCACACAGAACGATTTTTCATGGTGCTTTGCTAGATAAATGTTATAAATCCTGTCTGCTAAAGATGAATCCAAAGGCTGTCTTTCATTGTGTGAGGATGGGCTTGCTTTTTCTATAAACAGGAGTGTGAGGGAAAACAGAATACCTTATTTCTTCTCAATTTTCAAAATCTGTTTGATAAATTTTAAATCATTCTGGATTATTTTTACAGTATGCTGGGTCCAATATGCCATTTAAAAATATGTTTGGTCCCTGGAGTACTCAAAACACATGTTCAAGCCCAAAAGAAGGTTTTGGGTTTGCATGTAAAACCCAATTTTTTAATGAAACATTTAATACCAACACATGAGAGAACTACAACCTACTGTGGTATAAATACAGCTTTTTTCTCTGAAAAATTAACCATCTTCATTTGGCCATAACATGAGCAATGCAGAGGGAAACTGTTCATTTAAAAAAAATCCATGTGCAAAAGGGAATTGCAGGTCCCTCTTATCTCTCCTCGTCCCCCAAACCAAACTTAACCATATATTGCTTGCTAGGGGAGAAGTTATCTGCATTAAAATGCAAACCTCACAACCTTCAGCAGCCCATCTCTCCCTGTAAAACAATGGAGAATGCAGTTTGTCTCACTTCCAGCCCTGGCAGGGAGTGGTTGGGAATGAGGGGTGACTTACCAGTGCTCCCAGCTGCTGGAGTTTCTGAGCCAACAATTTCAGAAAGACTTACCCTCCCTGTCATTGGCCAGGGAAACCATGGAAGAGCAGCATTATGAAGAAGAAAGGACTTTTTAGGGATGTGTCATATGCCAGAAAAATTCTGTGGCATGGCATGGAAGCTGGTCACTCCAGGGTATGGAGTGGTACCATTGCTCTTGGTATAGCTGAAATTTGGTCTTTGCTCTCATTAGGCATCTTAGT